TATTTAAAAAGAAAAAAGCAACACAGCTGTCCCAACAAGCCTTTATGTGAAGAAAAAAAAAGAGGTGGCCAGTCAGTGGGCTGCTAAGCCCTGCTAAGTAGTCTCCTATAATTTAAAAAAAATGGTTATTTTTTGGAAATAAAATGGAGTAACCAACAGTATTTCAATGGTTATTCCATCTTTATTTTGCATATTTGTGGTTTCATCCATTTTTTTTCTTTTCTTGAAGATTTTATTTATTTTTAGAGAGAAGGGAAGGGAGGAAGAAAGAGAGGGAGAGAAACATCAATGCGTGGTTGCCTCTCATGTATCCCCCACTGGGGACCTGGCCCACAACCCAGGCATGTGCCCTGACTGGGAATGGAACTGGTAAACGTTTGGTTTACAGGCTGGCATTCAATTCACTGAGCCACACCAGCCAGGGCTCTCTTTTTCTTGAAGGACTCTAAAGAGCCTGCTTATCATCCTTTAAATGATGCAATGAACAGTGCTTTCTTGGCTGGAGAAATGAGAAGGACGAGCAGACTATTTTAACTGAAACTGCTATTGTATTAAAAGTAATGTTGCTGAAGCTTTTGAGAGGACAGATATGTTTCAGCAGCACCCTCTTACATTTACCTCTTTCCTAGAAATTAACATCTTCTCTTTAAGTAGTCAAAAAAATTAAAATATGGTAAATATAAGTCACTTAACTTGCTGTGGATATATCGAAGGATAATCAGTCTCTATCAACTGACATTTTTCTCCTCTACATGTATAAAATGGTTCCCAGCTCCTTTGTTAGACAAGGAAAAAGAGTACAAAAAAAATTTATTTATTTTATGCCATATTAAATGGGCCATATACTTATATTGTTTTTATTTTCATATTTTTAAATTGTTGGTGAGGAGAAGGAAAGTTTAGAAAGAGAAAGTATAGAGATATAGATTTTGGTTTTTAGTACATGTCTAATTTATCTGTGGTTGTTTAGATAAATATTAGTTACATTTTTAAATATGATCATTTCAAAGTACTTCAAAATAATCCCAGCTGAGGAATGCTATACTAACTCCTTTCACATTAGATTATATATAATTCAACCAACATTTCCTATGGAAGGGATGAGAGGACAACCAAAGAGATACAGTTGATCTAGTTACAGAAAACAGCCAGGGGAAGCAATGTGTAAACTAGTCTAATAATTACTATTGAACATGGCATAATAAAATCATTTTAAGCCAATTAGTATGTTATTAACTATAACAAAAAATAGCATGCTTTGTTATAATTATCATTAGCTAATCTCTAAAAATCCCTTTCCTCAGGTTAACGGAAACTTCATTTATTCCATTCATTCCATAAATACCTACTAATTCTCCAATTATGTGCCAAAGTTCTAGGAATTGCGAATATGATAGTATGTATGACAGATAACTAACGAAACTTAAGTCTAACCAGAAAAATACAAAATGAAAAAGGTATATTGTAAGTGTGATGAGTATCTTAATAGAGAAGTATGGGGACTCCATAAGCATAAAAGGGGTTCTAAATGAAATCCTTAAACCTTCAGCTGAGACCTGAAGGGTAAGTAGAAGCCAGCAACACCAGAAGGATAGGGACTAGGAAGTGCTGCAGGCAAAGGCCAGGACTGAGAGCACATTCCAGGAACTAAAAAAAACCTGTAGTGTGGCTGGAACATAGCAGAGATAGAGCTAAAAAGACTAGCAAGATCTATTCTGTAGAGGCCCTGTGAGTCACTTAAGAACTCAGGACTTCTGCCTAAGAGTCACTGAAAGGTTTTCAACAAGAGTGACACAGTCAGATGTGTGTTTTAGAAAAATACAGGACTTCCGCCAAGATGGAGGAGTAGGTGGAAACACTGTGCCTTCCCACACAACCAAGTTTAAAAACAACAAAGTTTTAGCAACAAAATACGCAGCTAAACCACAGAAAATTGAACTATACTGAAGCCTGACAACAACGAACCAATTAGCCAGACCCGTAAGAGGGGCAGAGCCAGCAGCAGAGCGGGTCAGGCAGGAAAGATCCACTGGCTGACCCAGGCGCGCAACCCAGGTGCGCGGGCAACTGAGGATGAGTCCCAGGTGTGGAGTAACAATGGGTGGACCCACTGAGGGTGCAAGGCGGCAGGATGATCGCGGTCACGCATTCTCGTGAAGATAAACCAGGCAAAGGAGCTAGCAGTGAGAAAGACCGTGCAGGCCCCAGCTGCGGAAAGCAGCAGAGGGGACCACTATTGTCTCTCTGACCCTGCCCCCACATACAGCATCACAACCCAGCGACCTGGGTGGCCTCACCCTGGTGAACAACTAAGGCTCCTCTCCTCGTATGTAACGTGCGAACAGATCAAAACATGGCTCAAGAACTCAGAGCCCCAGAGCAGATAAATCTAAGCAATGAAGAAATTGCCAACCTATCAGATGCACAGTTTAAAACACTCGTGATCAGGATGCTCACAGAACTGGTTGATTTTAGCCACAAACTAGATGAAAAAATGAAGGCTTCACTAAGTGAAATGAAGGGAAATGCACAGGGAACCAATAGTGATGGGAAGAAACTGGGACTCAATTCAATGGAGTGGACCAGAAGGAAGAAAGAAACAACCAAACAGAAAAGAATGAAGAATCAAGAATTCAAAAAATTGAGGAGAGGCTTAAGAACCTCCAGGACATCTTTAAACGCTCCAACATCCGAGTTATAGGGGTACCAGAAGGGGAAGAGTAAGAGCAAGGGGAAAACTTACTTGAACAAATAATAAAAGAGAACTTCCCCAATCTGGCAAAGGCAATAGACTTCCAGAAAGTCCAGGAAGCTCAGAGTCCCAAAGAAGTTGGACCCAAGAAGGAATACACCAAGGCACATCATCATTATATTAGCCAACATTAAAATAAAAGAGAGAATCCTAGAAGCAGCAAGAGATAAGGGGACAGTCACCTACAAAGGAGTTCCCATCAGACTGTCAGCAGATTTCTCAAGAGACCTTACAGGCAAGAAGGGGGTGGAAAGAGGTATTCCAAGTCATGAAATCCAAAGACCCACATCCAAGATTGCTCTATCCAGCAAAGCTTTCACTTAGAATGGAAGGACAGATAAAGTGCTTCTCAGATAAGATCAAATTCAAGGAGTTCATCATCACCAAGCCCTTATTATATGAAATGTTAAAGGGACTTATCTATGAAAAAGAAGACAAAAAAGATGAACAGTGAAAGGACAGCAAACTCACAGTTATTAACAACCACACCTAAAACAAAAGCAAATTAAGAGCACAGGCTAGATCAGGAGCAGAACCATAGAAATGAAGATCACATGGAGGGTTAGCAACAGGGGAGTGGGAGGAGGAGAAGGGGGGAGAAGGTACAGAAAATAAGTAGCATAGATGGTAGGTAGAAAATAGATAGGGGGAGGGCAAGAATAGTATGGGAAATATAGAATCTAAAGAACTTGAGACACATGGTCATAAACTAAAGGGGGGATGGTGGGGGAGGGGCTGTGCAGGGTGGAGGGGAATGAAGGGGGAAATAGAACAACTATAATGGCATAATCAATAAAATATATTAAAAAAATTTTTGTTCATTACAAAGTGTATCTATAGAACTTCATTTTAAGTTATTCAGGCAACTAAGTGCTTTGACATAACTATAAATTAGAAAGGTAACTTTAAAATAACAAAAACATTTTCCATTTATATCCTAAGTCACCCATTAAAAACTTTTTCTCATCTCTGTATACAAATGGTTAAGAACAGAATATATAAATAATCTCAATACAAGTAATTTTCATTTTAATGGTAACCAGTGAGACTAAGTAGTTTTCCTATTCTGTCAGCTGGTTTCCCTACTCTATCAACAACTGTAATGGCATAATCAATAAACTATATACTTAAAAAAAAAGAAAAATCCAACTAATCAATCAACAATAGTTGAAGAGCACCAACTGCGGCAAAACAGTATGATAGGCTTAAGGGCAATGCACAAATGAAAAAGTTTGGGAGCCTTTAAGGCTCCATTAAAAAAGGCTTAAAAAATATGAGAAGATTCCTAGACATTGTAAGTACACATACTCCTGAAGGGAGAGACTGGGTTGTAGTAATGTGGAAAAGTAATCTTTGGGCCTCGGAGACTGAGTAGGTTTCAGATGGGAGAGGAGCCATATGTGTCCTGAGCCATCTGAAATAGAAAGTGGTTGAAAATGAATCTAGAAAGGCAAATTTGAGCTATATTATGTGGAAGGTTTCAAAAGTCTAAGTAAGGAGTCTGAAATCTGTCCATAGAAGGAAGAGCAACTGACAATTTCTTAGGAAATGAGCATGTTCAAATGATAGTGTGATGAACAACTGAGGAGAAAACACAGGACCCTTTCTTTCACAGTGCTCCAAATGTTACTGATGTCAATACAGTGTTAGCAGTAGGGAAGGGAAACATATTTGGCAGCTATTACAAAAGAAACCAAGGCAGACTTAAAAATGCCTGCCTTGATTTTTAGACTTTTATTGTGCTTATCTTTTAATTCCATTTTTTCTAGAAATTCATTTTTATCCTATTTTAACAAAAGTGTGGCTCTGTCAAAACATAAAACAAAAAACAAAACCTGTAGTTTTGTTTAAGAGATACTAACAACAGAGTATTTAGCTTGCACCTGAAATCTAACTAGATTACTGTACCTTTGTAAATACACATATAGAAATAAAAACAAATCTGAATGTGGACTGGTTATTAAAGGTTATGTATTTGCTATTAATATTCTCAGTTGTAATAATACCACTCTGATAATGTAGGAGAATGATACTTTTAGGAGCTACATGCTGTCTGCAACTTATTGAATGGTTTCAGCAATAAAACACACAGCAGGTATCTCACAAACATAACAGTTAAAGCAAACATAAGTGAATGTTAACAATGGTTGAATTTAGGGGTGGGATGACAACAATTTTTGAGTAATGCTGAGAAATATTTAAATAAGTAGCACATAATGGCATATAATAAAAGCAAGGTCTTTCATACCCCAAAGTCACTAAGTCAGTATTCTCTGGGATGACTTCCGGGTCCTCCTCTTCTTCGAGGCACTTCAGTTTATCAAGGCTAAAATAAAAAAGGAAAAGCAATCATGCATCTTGTCTACAGAGAGTCAGGGTAGTGTCCTAAATACATCGCCGAATAATTAAGAAGTCACATAAAATCCAGCAGGCAGCTCAGAAGCGGCCAGAATTCAAGGCAAAGATTTCTGTGCGGATATTCTATACATAAAAGCATATACCGTCGATTGAAGGAGGCTAATACTGTGTTAAGTGAAGATAAAAATATTTTTTAAAAGTTACTTTTGCATTTTCACCCCCAACTAAGGCACCTGGGGAGTAAATTTCAGTAATAGCATACCTGGGAGGCCCCCAAAGAGATCCCAGTTAATCGAGATTTTAACACTCCTCTTCCTTACCGTTCCTCTATTGTCAAAGCGTCTGTCAACCGCAGGTATGCGTCGTTGTTACTGATTGCTTTTCTACATTAACATGCGCTTTAATAATTAGCGAATAGAAAAATCAATCTTTTATGCAGCTCTCTCTTCCCTTCACTCCAACTTGTAGAAGTTGTGATTCCCATCACCAGTCCTCTCCCGATGTTCCGGGAAGTGTAATATAGGCCCTCCCAAGGAAGGATCCCAGGGAGCACAGGAGCAAAGCTGCACCCGCTTTGGCCCCAAGCAGCAAAAGCCCCTCGGCCCGCACTCACCCGCAAATTGCCCTCAGCTCGGCAGCCGCCTCCATACTGCAGCCCAGATCCCGGGCCACTGTGGCATCCTCCCAGGCGGAGTCGGCGACGCCTCCTCGCTCAGGCAGCGCGGATGCGGGCGGCTCCTTCAGCGACAAATCCCCGTGCCCGCTCAGCCGGCCACGCCACTGCTCCCCGAAGGTGCCCACGTGGAAAGCACGCGTGTTTATTTCGGGAATCTCATACTCTGGAAAGTTGCAGCCACCACTGTTAGGGACTGGGACCTGTCCGCTGCTCATCCCACTGAACAACGAGACACCCGAATCGCCTTCAGCCATATTCGCTCCATTCCCTTCCCAGCAAAAACCGGATGATCAAGGCCTTGAAGAGCATGATGGGACTTGTAGTTGCACGTTGCCCCAGTCGGCGAACTGCGGGATTGCGCAGACCGAGTGTCAGACACTACATTTCCCGTCAGGCCCCCCGCCAGCTTCATCGCGAGCTTCTGTGTTCCGGGAAGATCGCATTGTTCTACACTCGGGGCAGTCCGGGAAGCAATTAAGGTTTTCCTTCCTCCGCAGACTTTGGAGTTCGGCTGCCAGTCCCCACAGTTAAGTAGCCACGCTTTTTGCTGGGCGGGGCGGCCTCCACACGCCTTTGGGTGTCTCTGTCTTTCTTCCGCCCCAAGATGTGGGACTTTTCCTCATCTCCGCTGTTGGTGGGCTGCCCTACTGCTTCACTGCCTGGGAGGGTGAGAGAAAGCTAGAAAGCGGGGCGGGGCGCCGAAATAAGGGACCCTCCAGAGCCTGCTCCTCCAGCGTGTTTATAAATGTATGCTACACACACGCGCGCGCACATCATTAAATCACAATGTTTTTAGGGTCCAGGCGTAACGTTTGAAGACGGAGTTTGAAGACGGAGTTAACGGCTAGCTCATGGAAGTAGGATTGGAACTAAACCTGTCTTGCTTCAGATTGAGACCCTCCATCTCTTACAGACTCCAAAGGAAGGAGCAGGACACACAGAACAAGCCCTAATTGTTTATTACAGACTGGTGCAACAATCACAGTCAATCTGAGAACATTTTCACCGCTCCAAAAAGAAACCCTGTACCTTTTAACTATCACTCCCTATCTTTCTACTCCTCCAGCCCTAGCCAGCCACTAATCTTTCTATAGATTTACGTATTCTAGACCTCTAATGCAAATGGAATTCTATGTGTGGTATTTTTGTGACTAGCTTTTTCACTTAATATTTTCAGTATCCATATTGCAGCATGTGTCAGTGTTACAGGAAAATGAAGCAACCAGACACCAAGGGATTCTGGAGTATGAGGTTTATTACTAACGTGCACAGGTCCAGAGGAGTCAGTCTCCAAATTCTGAGCCCCGAACAAAGGATTCTTGGGGGGTTATATAGTTTAGGGGTCTTCCTGTCTACATGACAAAAGTGGGATACAGAAGCAGAATGTGATAATTGTTCTATGGGGGGGCGGTGGTGGTGGTGGTGGTGTTAGTTCCAGCCCTACTGACTATCCGGCTATTTGCTTTCTCAGACGGCCTTATCGTTCTCCTATGGCGCCTGGGGTCTTAGGTGAACAAAGGTTTTCCAAAGCTTCCCACATTATCAGTACTTAATTTCTTTTTACAGCTGAACAATATTGCATTATATGTATACTGTATTTTGTTTTCCACTCATCAAAATGTTTGCAACTTTGGGCTATTATGAATAATGCTGCTACCAAATTATGTATAATTTTTTTGCAAAGATAAATTTTCACTTATCTTGGATAAATGTATATCTGTATCCACATATCTAGGATTGAAATTACTGGGCCACATGTAACTCGTTAAATAATTAGAGTAACTGCCCTACTGTTTGAAAGGTTTTCTTAGCCTCCCTCGAGGAAAAAATGCCAATCAACCACAAAGGCAGTATAGAGCTTTATTGGGATTTGTGCATTCGGGCAAGGATCCCTGGTCCACAGAGTGAGGTGAGGGAAGTTGCGCCCAAGCAGGGAATGTGGCAGGGTTTTATTTTGGTTGGCTCTCTTTGTGGGAGCTGGGGATTGGTCGCCTTTGGACAAAGCGGCAATGTATCATTGGCGGCTTTCCTCGGGTTCAGGTTGCTATGCGGATATCCGTTTTGGCAAAGCCTGCCCTTTTGGCTCTCTGGAGCTGAAAGACCTCAGACCTCTCAAAAGAGGTCAGCCGTCTGTTCTGGGTTGTAGTTTAGCTGCCATTTTGTCCTACCCCGCCCATTCTGACACTGTTTTCTACAGTAGCTGCTCCATTTTATACTCCTACCAGCATAGTATGAGGATTCTGATTTCTCCACATCCTGGACAACACTTGTTATTATCTGATATTTTCATTATAGTCATCCTAGTGATAGAGGAATTCAAGAGTTAAAGAGTTTAGCCTGAGCTAAAGTCGATAGGCTTAAGTGATTAATGCATGTGGAAATCTGTTATTCCAGGAAGTGGAATGCACAACCTAAGTGGCTCCAAGAGGTCCACAAGCAATTCAGCATGTGTGCCCCAGGGGGTCTATAAGCAGTGGAGATGGTATCTGAGCCATAGTGTTCCAGGGAGGGAATTCAGATAAAAATTGTTGATGAACAGATAAAGAAATACTGGGAACTTTCTCAAACTATGGCATTGGCGTAACAGCAGCTTGAGACATTTGTAGTGGGTGCCAGAAGCAACCACAATACAGGACTCAGTTGAGTCTTACCAACAGCTAATCTTTGGAATTAGGCTGGAGGTCCAGAATATCCACTGCAGCATACAAATTATTTCTAGCAGAAGGCATTTCAAAATAGGCTACCCCGCCCCACCCCCAACCTCCTTATCTATCTAAATGGCAAGCCTCCCAAAAGAACTCAATTGTCATAAAGCCCTTCCCTGGAAATAGGAAAGATTGACCTGAAGTGAGCACTACACCTAGCAGATGTCATTGTTATAAAACTCCCATCTGTTCTCCGAAGGGCCCATTTATCTTTCCCCAAAGTCATTTGTTCTCTCCTAAGTGTCCTTTGCCCCCTTCCCTATTTAGAAGTCATTTGTTTTGCAGTAACTGCCCCTCTCCCCTTCCCCTCCTCCTATTAAGATGGTAAATAAGCTCAAATTCTAAGGGCCTTCTAGAGCCACATTTTCCCCAGATCTTTTCTATATATCATACATATGTGAATAAAAAACCTGTCTATTCTCTTGCTAAGCTATTTTTGTTGGTTTAATTCACAGGCTCCTAATAATGGAATCTAAGAGGGTGGAGGAAGAGTTTTTCTTTCCCATCAAGGCCATGGCAAAGGCAGCTTCTGGCTCTGTGGCAATTTAGCAGATGAGAGTATTGCTGGATCTGGCACTAGAACCAAACAAGAACAGAGAGGAGGTAAAAAAAGATCCCAAGATGCCAGTATAAGTATAGTCCCTGTGATTCTGGGTGAGCTGTGTACAATTCTTGAGGAAGAAAAAAAACCCTAATGTTTCCCAGTTGGATGAGACATGTTAATAAGCCAGGACAAGTGAAAAAGGGAAACTGAGACAGTTAAATTGCCAGGTAGTTTACAGCAATCCAGTAAACTGCAAAATCCTACCTTCCATAACCAAATTGTTATACTTCTCCTCCCTAAGCACCACGGGATGGTTAGGATGGTAAATAGCTTAAATCACCTTTCTCAGGGAGATACATAATAGAAAGCCAATTAGTGCTATTTGTACTAAACACACCCAAACATGGGTGAAGTCAGGGGAATAATTCTCATTTTGGGCCATCATCATAAAGCTGATGAATATTCTATTGAGATCCTCCGGGAAGACCTCTAAAGTTGCTACCTTTAGAAAACAGATAAGAGCCCTCAGGACAAAGACCTAGCACGGGTTCTCTCTGAAGCACACCCACACTTCTCTTCTACCTCAAGCATGCCTCTTTACTTTTCTCTCCTAGACTTTTAAGGGCCCCCAGCAGACTGGAACCAGGGGCACAATGAGCTGCAGCAGCTTGTCCTGGACTAACCCCTTGAGCCTGTCTCCAAGGCCCCCTTTTCTCTGACTTTTCAGTGAGCTAACAGTAGCCCCACCTTGGCTCACTTGTGTAACTGCAACTTTTACTTGTGAGTGAGTCTAAGCAGCTCAGCGTGGTTCACTTCTTTCCTATAACATCTCTAGGAAGCCAAAGCTAGGCTCTCTCCTGTAGCTTCTTCTATCCTCGACTTCTCAGCGAGCTAACTGCAGCCCCACCATGGCTTACTTCTTTCCTATAACATTTCTAGATATTATGGGACAGGGACTCACCCAGGGAGGGTCTGCCTCAGCCCTCTCCAGTGACGCGGGGATTGAGGTGGTGGCATACTTGACGTGGTGACATAGGTTTATGGTAGGTGACAGGATAAAGCTGGCACTATTTCCTATCACGGCATCATTTGCTGAGCAGGCCTATGACCTTGTAAAACATGACTGCCATTTTATTCTTCAGAGCTCATGTCCCCAGGACTGAAACTGGAAATTACTAGGAAGCAAGAACAGAACAGAACTGTTCTGTGGCACCCCATAGCCACAGGCAAAAGACAACATCGGAGCAAACTGCAATTTATGCAAAACCAACTAAGACCTGTGTTGCAAGCCCCCAACAGCCCAGGGGCCACATGACAACAACCCTCCCTACCCTTTCATAATTCGATTATAATCCAATACAAACTCAAGAACCCTGCATGCCATTGCTGGTGCATCTCCACACCATGCCCCTTTCCACTCAGGTAAAGTGAATAAAAACTTTGTTCTCTGCATTTTCTTCTCTTTACGAATTCTTTCACAGCCCGTGTCACCAGCCACCCTAACAGGAAGGATTCTGAGTAGTGACACAAATCAAGATCATGAATTGTTACCTGGCTGTTGGTTTCACAATTCTGCTTATGCTCCATGGGGCTGGCATTCCCACCAAGTTCAGAGAAAGGCTCCATAGAAGCCAATAGTTAAAAGCAGTTGCTGCCACATCCAGCTCTCTGGTATTTCTAGTGATAAGGGAGTAGGGCAAATGCCTAATCCTCACTCACCCCTTAGACAGTGTGAGGCTTTGGGAAAATAAGCGGTAGCCGGCTCTTTTTCAGCAAAAAAACTAGGGACTCCTTGAAGATACAAGGAGAATTTTTTTTTGCTTGGAATTTTTCCTGGATTCTCTGCTTCAGCCATTGCTGTTCAGGTGGAGAATTGCTTTCCTGAAGCCAAGGGACCACGTGGGGCTTTCTCTCTGCCAAAAAAAAAAAAAAGAGAAGGATAGAAAGGGGATGATGTAAACAGAAAAGACAGCTGGGGTGCTCTTAGTCATAAAGGCAGTTGACAGAATAATAATAACCATTAGTGAGGAATAAGATTTATAACCATTCAAAGGGTTTACATTAATTAAAAAGAATTTTCACCACTGAGGTGGAAAGCCTGAATCTAGTGTCCTCTTCCATTTTAAGCAGAGACCCTTTTCAAGGCTGACAACGATGAACAGGTCTGTGTTTGCATAATGACTTGCTTTTTATTTTCTAAATCGCCCCCAACTAATTGCTTTAGGAAACCTCTACTGTTCCTTGTTCTCCTGTCACCACCATCTCGGCTCCACTCGTGTGTAAAATTAGGTAATTCGTTTTTACCCAGGACAATGCCCAGTTTACTGCAGGGTGTTTTCAATCTTGGATTGGCAAGCAGAGTGAGAAAGTCTACTGGCAAGAAATAGAAAATCGGGATAAAAAATATCAGAAAATGTTCTGGCCCCTTTTGGTTAACAGAGACTGTGAACTTGGAGAAATGTGAGAGAAGCTGTTGCTTTTTTTGGAGGAAGTTTTGGAGCAGGACATGGTCTGAGAGATGAAGCATCATCCTCAGATTCCACAACCAAACATTCTTTTATTTACTTAAGTTACCTTAGTACCTCTATGAGACACGTTCACTGGTGCAAGTGGAATAATAGATCCTGAAAATGGTATAAAATGATTGAAGGCTAGAAGCCGTGGGATCAGATAAGAAAATACTCCCTGATAATACTCAATCCTCACCTCAGCAGAAAGGCATCTTTCCTCTGTGCAGTTGCTTGCCCCCGCTTTCCATTCCATACTCTGGAGTAAGTCTCTTAGCACAGCTCATATTCAGGAGACTCCATCTCCTGGAATGGGGAGTAGTTACACAATTACTTGGAATACAATAAGAGAGATTTTATTCTCCATTTATTTAAATATTTAATCTTTTATTTATACAGTATAGACTCAGATATTTATTTTCGGCTTTGGTTTGTTATCCAATACTACTTACTGTGTTAAGCATATGTTTCCAATTCTTTGGCACCTAGGGGCTTGCCGAATCTGGAGAGACTGCCCCTTCCTGGGCTAGCCAGTTCCTAGAGATAGTAATGGACTCTGCTTTGTGCGGGGCTTTCAAAGGTAAAGCAACCAATCCAGGGCCTGCATCCCTCCCACCTCCTCTACTGGGGTCTCCCACTATTTCCCTGCCTTAATCCGCCAGGTCCAAGTACCAGACAACTGGGGACAGCACCTGTGCCCCAAAGCTGCTGAAATTAGCCAATCCTAAACATTCTTATGCTTTGCGTGTTTCTTCCTATAACCCACCCCCCCCCCCCCCAAAGGCTCTTGCTCACATTTGCCCGTTGCTCCTGCCTCCTGTTCAACCCTGGCACTTCCTCATGTGACTCCCTGTGGCACTGAGTGCCGCCTTCTCTTAGAAACCTAACCAAACTGTATTTGCTTTTTTGTTCATTTGGTTTTTCTTTTAGTTTTATTTTTCATTGCTTTTAGAGAGAGAGGAAGGGAGAGAAGAGAGAATGGGAGGGAGGGAGAAAAACCATCCATGTGAGAGAGAAACATGGATTGGTTGCCTCCTGTACATGTCCAGACTGCGGATCAAACCCGCCACCTAGGTATGTGCCCTGACCGGGAATCAAATCTGCAACATTTTGTTTACAGGATGATACTCCAACCAACTGAGCCACACTGTCCAGGGCAAACTATATTTTCAACACCAGTCTACTGATCTATTAGCCTACACCATACTTGAATAGCTTATCATTTAAAACAATTACTACTCTTTTTTTGTTGTTCAAATTGTTCCAGCTTTGACCTTTGGGAGTCCTTTCAGATTGGCCCTCTGTTCCCTTCACACGTTCCCTGTCCTGTTGTTTTTGAGCACTTCCTTGCTTTCTGGCACTACAATTTGCTCCTGACTCATATAATCCTTGCCCAATGCCTAGAATCAGCCATGTTGCAAAAGAGTCCCTGTTCCTTTTATTGGGCAATGATATTGCTATTGTTTTTTAAACAAAGTTTTATTGGAACACATTTATGTTGTTTCATTTTCATTTTCATATTACATATGGCTGCTTTTGCATTACAGTTGCAAAATTGAGTAGTTACAAGAGATTGTATGGCTTGCAAAGCCTGATACACTTATACTCTGGACATTACAGAAAGTTTGCTGACTCCTTTTCCTTCTTTTCCTTTAAAATATTTTATTTATTTTTAGAGAGAAGAGAAGGAAGGGAGAGAGAGAGGAAGAGAAACATAGATGTGTGGGAGATACATCCTTTGGTTGCCTCTTGCATACCCCCAATTGGGGACCTGGCCTACAAGTCAGGCATGTGTCCTGACTGGGAATTGAACTAGCAATCTTTTGGTTCTTAGGCCCATGCTCAGTCCACTAAGCCTCACCAGCCAGGGCTGCTGACCCCTTTTCTAGATGAAGGTGGCTATTGTACTTATAAGGATACAAAAAGGTAGGTCTTATGAAAGTCCAAAACATGAACCAAAGCATTCATAGGCTCTGTTAGTAGGAATCAATACTACATTTTCTTCCCAGGCATTTTGTATTTTATTTCTTTCCTTTTTATCAAGTGTTTCTCACTTCTTCTTTATGTACACTGCTATATTGTTGAGGGGTGGGGATCTCCCCTTGTAGCTAAGTCGAGAAAGGAGAAGATGTCTAATAAAGCAGAATACTTAGAGCTAGAATCATCCCATAGGATGGAAAAGAGAAACAAGTATCTGTTGTCATGTAAGCTAGGTCCAGAAAAAAAAAAAAGAAAAGCAATTTCTTCTCAATATAATTACTCTTTTGCAACTTGTCAAATTAATGCCATTTCAGGAAAAATATTCTTTCCCTGTATGCTATTTGACACTGTGGCTAAGAAAAAACTACTTATTTTGGAGGGTGTGCCTTGCTTTTTAGGTACATATCTGAGAATGTCAAGTGCATCTAACACGAGGGATTATAATCACTCTCTCAGAGTCAGCTGTGACTAAGAAAAGTACAGCCTCTCAGGTACTCTAGTTAGGGGGAAGATCCTCCTAACTCCCTCCTTTTGAAAATCTAGTCTAGAAGGCTTTCCTTGGTGTCTAATAG